GTCGTGGTCGTGGTCGTGGTCGTGGTCGTGGTCGTGGTCGTGGTCGTGGTCGTGGTCGTGGTCGTGGTCGTGGTCGTGGTCGTGGTCGTGGTCGTCGTGGTAGTGGTAGTGGTAGTGGTAGTGGTAGCTCGTAGCTGGTAGCTGGTAGCTGGTAGCTGGTAGCTGTTGCTGTTGCTGTTGCTGTTGTTGTTGCTGTTGCTGTTGGTGTTGGTGTTGTTGTTGTTGTTTCAGACGACGCTTCCATGGCTCAGACCTCTCAGATGGCAAATGCACCAGGAATTGGACAGTCCTCTGGTAGTCCTCAACAGCTGCACAGACTCATTGATGCTCCGCTACCACACGTTTGCATTATCTGTGCAGATTACTTCCCCACAGTTGAGCTGCTGCGTGAACACATGAGGGATCATGATGGCTATCATTCAGTTCGAGATGCGACCATGGGCCATCCAACTTGTGCGCACTGCAAGACTCGCTTCAGGGAAACATGGGAACTCCAGCGGCACATTTCACGTCATTCCTGCCCGGTTTTTGATGTAACACTGCCTTCTGCAGGTGCTCAATGCCATGATCCCGACATTCAAGAAGCAGTTCGTGCAGGCCAGCTCACTGACCTTCTTCTGAATCCCCAACATCCTGAAGTACGGCTGAGATTCACGCTTTCTTGCTGTATGTGTGGGCTGGGGCAAAGCAGAGTGGCAGATTTGACGAGACATTTACAGACGCAACATGGTCCCTTCTATCGTGCAGCCGATGAATATGTTGCCCTGATAGAGGAACAGCACCTGGATTGCGTATGCAATCCTCGGCGCCCAGCTCAGCCACGAGCTCACCGTTGCATTGCATGGAGGCAGTTGGGAATGATTGAGTTTTTCATCAATCCTGATCGCAGACAGTTCTTTCCATCATGGTCGATTACAGACGAGTCTATGGTCAGAATGGCAACTGTCAACCCTCGACTGCATGCACAGGCGCCCAAGTTGATCCAGGACTTGCGGGACAATCTCCCCTTTCTCCTCCTGAATGACACCATCACCTGTGAGGGGCTTGGACATCACTGTGCATTGTGCAATCGCAGCTTCCCTGACCCGCATGATCTCGTTCGTCACATTGAACAACATCACGCCACAGAATGTCAGCAATGTCAAGCACTCCTCCAATGCTTGGGGAAGCATCTTCTGGCTCATATCAGGGACCCATTCCCCTGCCATGCATGCAATGAAGATAGCAACACCTACAATGTGGTTGACAACACCATTTGGTATGCTCTCCGTCACAAATGTGGGGTTCTGTTGAACTTGGCCCTGATCTACCTTCGAACTCGTCCTGATTTTGAGAGCCATGGCCGAGCACAAACAGGAGGTGTCAGACGAGGACAAGATGTCTCAGCTGCAGGAAACATTCTTAGGTATGCTCGCCGGCGCACCGACTCCCAGCCGTCAGTCAGCATCGGCCAAGAAGATCAAAGTCAACCATCCGGATCCATCCACCCGCCGCTCCTCGATGACAGCGGCTCCAGACGACTCGACGTCGTCGGGTCAGGTGACACAACTATGCCGGATGTTGGCAGTTCTGACCTTGCGCCACGAGGATGCCCTCAACGCACTAGCATGCCAGGACCAATGCATCCTGTTCCTCACGCAAGGGACACAGGGAGTGACACACCTCCTCATTCAAGCAGCCCAGGACTGGCGAGAGCAAACGACACCCGTGAATCCTCTCAGGGTAGTCCTGATGCAGACCTTGCTCGAAGAGCTGATGAGGAGATTCAAAGGTTTCTGCACCAAGCTCTCGGACCCGGACTTTCGCCGACAGAGCATTCTCACCAAGATCATCCTGGAGGACAACACGATCCCCTATCTGCAATGGTGCCATCAGCAGAAGTGCCTGATCCCAATGCAAACGCAGGGCATCAGCACGACCGAAATGGAGCAGAAATTACAACGACTCCATGTAGCCCTCCAGGAACCGGCCAACCTGATCCGGTTCTTTGCGCTCAAGAGCCAGGGAAACACTACAGGGGTTACACCTTGGAAGATTCAGCTGGCCGCCCATGCGGAACGATCCGCTGATGTGCGAGATGAGATCCCTCATCGGATCGGCAGTGTGGATGCTGGTGGCAGGTCGACTGAAAGCCCACTCGCAGCAGAGATCCAAGGTGGCACAGGAGATGCAGGACTTTGCCTATCCCCGCCGGCACGGCAACCGCCGGCACTGAGGGATCTTCTACGAGGAGCACTTTTGGGGGGCACAGCTGCAGAATGACAGCTGTTGGTGCTGGGCGAACGCAGGTTTGCTCTGCACCATTTGGGCCATCCTTTGTCGCCCTGACTTTTCCCTCGAGGACTTTGGGGTTCAGATTCGGCCTGTTCGAGCTTTCCTGCACAGGCTTCAGACCATGCCGGGGACATGCGTGGCCTTAGCCTTTCCCGACCTTCTTCGACAGGCCGCTTCATCCTGTATGCCACGAGACGTTGGGGAATTTGTTTCAGAGCTCGTAACATGGCTTGAATCTGAGGCTGTATCCATGACTTGGGAACGACGCTTTCTGGCTGGATCAAAAGTTGAGCGCTCTGAAGCTGGTTCATGGCAGTACCCCATCTCACTGGACTGCATATATGAATTGGATATTCCTGCCCCCTCGTTATCTCAGCTTCTTCAACCTTGGATCTATGCAGAATCCATGCACTCCGCCTTCCTTTCGATTGGAACATTGAAGTGTGTACACATTGATCGTGCCTTGATGCTCACTCCGCTCCTAGGCCACAATAACCTGCTGGAGCTTGAGGACACCCTGAACCTCCCCTTCTTCGAGGATGGTCGAACTCACGACATTTGCTGGCTTCCCTATATGCCAGTGTCAGGTGTGGTGCATCTTGGCAGCCGAAACTCAGGACACTTCATCACCTTCGTCAAAGCTTGGAATCCGAAATGCTGGTATGAGCTCGACGATGGTAAGCCTGCCAAGACACACAGGCAGCTTCCTGATTGGGCCAAACGCCGCCTGGTCTTGATTTGGTTGTGCCCTGCTCCATACCTGGTGGACTCATCGGCCCCATCCTTGGATGACATGTGCCCCTTGACTCCCTCCAGGTCTGAGACCCTTCATGAGGAGGATCAGAGCCGATCTTGGTCCACTCAGGCTGAGGACACCGATTCCATTCGTGCCTTGGATGCCACTTGGCCTGAGAATGGACAGGCCACTGATCAGCAACAGCGGAACTTGCTGCTGTCTCGCATTGCAGCCGCGCTGGAACCTTCCACACCAGCAGCTGCTGGTACCAGCAGCGGGGCCACTCACCGCTGATGGAAGCTGCCGAGCGCTGCGGGGCGCTGCCGCTCCTTGGCTGACCGCGCCTCTGAGAAACTGTAGCGTGTTTTTCTCCTAGGCTCTTTTCTTTACTTGAGGCTGCCTATGACCGACCGGTCATGACTTTTGCCCAACTAGGCACGACCCACTTGAGTTGTGCTTTCTCAGCATGAGCTGAGTAAATTTTGATGGAAGCTCAAGATGCAACCCAGCCATTGCAATGGCTGCGCTACAAAGCTCTCCCAATGAGGAGTCCGCTGACAGAACGTCAGTGCAGGCTGCGCTACCCTTCTGGGCGCGTGAGAAGAAGAAGAAGAAGAAGAAGAAGTTGTTGTTGTTGTTGTTGTTGTTGTTGTGTACTTGTATGTCTTTGTGTTTGTGCTTGTGTTTGTGCATTTGTGTTTGTGAGTGTGTGGCTGTGGCTGTGTGTTTGTGATTGTGTGTTTGTGGTTGCGATATGGCACTTGTCGTTGAGGTCCGGTACGCTTGCTGTTGAGGTCCAGTAGCGCCCGCTGCGATCTGGCGCTTGCCATTGAGGTCCGGTAGTGCGCACTGCGATTTGGTGCTTACAGTTGAGGTGCGGTAGTCAAGGAGACGAGGAGAGGAGAGGGAGAGGAGAGGAAGGAGAGAGGAGAGAGGAGAGGGG